ATATTTCATAAAATAAAAAGATAGAGAGAGAGAAAGATAGGTTCATATTTAATAGAAAATATCGATATAATTAAAAATTAGAAGACAGTCAATGAAATTTAGTTTAGTGGGGATAATTCTTCAAATAATTCAATCTAATCTTAATGAAATGTTTTAAACATGGATAGAAAAAAGTAATTAGAAGAGAATGATAATGAAATGAATCGATCAATATCTATATAATACCTTAATACATTTTTTAGACGCCTAAATGAAGGTAACCCGTTGTGCTTAAATGAACGTAGGCGTCTCGATAAAGGGGAACCCCTTATGTAAACTAATAATGAATTCTGAAGTATGGTAATCGTTATGTTGAACTAACGCAATGTTGCACATAAATTCTTTTTTTAGATTAAATGAAAAAATTTAAAATTATAAAATTAAGATGAAATAATAAATTATTCCACAAGTGTTAGAATTCACACATTTTCTAATTGCAATTTGAATATACTAAAGTAAATGTGATTTGTAATATAAAATTATTTATATTATTTTATATAATTATTAATATATTAATTATTAATTATATAATATTACATTTAAATTTGTAATATAATCTCTAATATATGTCTACGATGTATTTTTGGAATGATGATGCGCGCGCAACTTTCAATTGTACCCTACTAACTAAACGCGCGAAAACAAGTAGAATTTGAAAAAAAGAAAATAAAAAATAAAAGTAAATAAATTCAAATACGAGATGGGGATCGTCATTTTATATAATTATTAATTATATAATATTAATATATATTTATAAATTACTTGTAGTATTATATTATAATATATAATACTAATTAATATTAATAAATATATATTTTATATTTATAATTTAAACAATTACAAATATAAACAATTATATTATTAATATTATAATTATTATAAATATAATTACACAAATATTAATATAAATATAATATAAATATAATTGTTATATTTTGTAATTGTTTAAATTTAAATAATAATTTGTAATATAATTCCTAATATGTCTACGATGTACTTTTGAAATGATGATGCGCGCGCAACTTTCAATTCTACCCTACTAACTAAACGCGCGAAAACAAGTAGAATTTGAAAAAAAAAAATAAAAAATAAAAAATAAAAGTAAATAAATTCAAATACGAGATGGGGATCGTCAAAACTATTTGATCGTTTCTTTTAGTAAAATAAACGATACAACTTGAAACATGGAAAGAAAAATCTTTCAACCGGTTTTCTCTCTGTCACTGCAACCCTACGTAGGGTAGGTAGGTAGGTAGGTAGGTAGATACGTACTTAGGTATACATATATATAGGTATATAAACCCTGAATTCTCTCACTGGCACAGCATCGAACATCTGCTGTTCCTTTAACTCGTTGGAAACACGAGACGACGTTCTTCTTCGTTCAATGCTACAGAAAAGGGAATTTCTTCTACGAGTTTTGCCACCGATTATCAAAGTCTTCGCATCGCAACCTCGTGTCGTGGGATTATTCGTGCAAACGTTGTTCTATCTGTTTTTTTTTTTTTTTTTTTTAAATAAAATCAAAGAAACAGACAAAGAGACTAAAGTTTGTTTTTTCCTTGTTAAATTTTTTTCTTCCATTTATTATCAATCTCACGTTTGTTCTTATCACCCGCATGCATGTGTTCCTTCTTTTCATTTTTTAATGATCCTACAAATTCGTAAAAGAATAACATTAAAAAAAAAAAAAAAAAAAAGAAACATTCAACACGTTGTTCGTGACTGAATCGTAAAAGATACGAAATCGCGAATGGAAATTTTTTTTGATAGTAAATTCTTACATATATATACATTTATGTATAAACACACGTATAAATATTTGAAAAAAAAAAAAAAATTATACAGTAGATATTTTTATTATATACGTCATTCGATAATAGGTAACAAATTTCTTTAAAAAAAAAATTACTTCTGACACGGTGTTTAATTGTACAAAAAAAATGATATTTCACGATAAATCGAAATGAAATTATTTAAGAAATTGAATTAATCGAAATTCGAATTGATATTTGAAAGAAACTTGAAATGTTTCACGTATTGTTCGAGTTACATTCAAATACACAGGGGGTTGTTAAAAGGGTTGCGCAATACTCGGCAAGGTTTCTTTTTCTTCCTTTTCTTTTTTTTTTTTTTTTAATTAAGGATTATCGATTATTGAAATGTAGAATTCGTCGCATTATTCTCACGTGTGATATAAAATATCTGACGATGTTTATTTAACTCTCAAAATAAATATTCTGTCAAATAAAACGAAAAGAAAATATTCAAACGTATGACAATAGTTATCATTATTATATTCGAACAATGATAATAATAATTATTTTAATAAAATATTTCAAAAAACAAAAAATTGTAAGATAAAAAAGAAGAAGAAGAAAAATTTATATTTTAACTAGGGCTGCCCCGCCACACATTGCTGTGGCTCACAATCAGTTTGATACACACGTCAATATAATAATATTGCGATTATAAATTGAGGATATAAACTATCCTATCTTTCAAGTTGGATGAAACTGCACACAGTTTGTAAAATTTTATTAACATCGGTACAGTAGTTTAGAAGTCCATTGCGGACAAACAACGTGAAACGTAATTTATATATATATTAAGATTATATTTCAATATTTTATATTGTAGCGTGTATAATATTTATATTATAATTAATATTATATAATAATAATAATAATATATAAATATATATTGTAAATTAAAAGTTTTGTATAAGTAAAAATTATGAATAATATAATAATACTCTTACAATACTTTACTTTATCATACAGATGACACGTTTTACATTTAACTCTTTACGGCACAAAATTTCAGGCTAATAAAATAGCCCTATGTTTCATAGAAATTTGAGATTGTGTTTTAAATAAAAACATAATTGTGGTATAGTTTTTATTAATAAAGGTATTAAATAATATAAAAATATATAAAAAGGAAAAAAGAGTAATAATTTAATTTTACATTTGTAACATTTATTGAAAATATTACTACTACCAATTGCTTTTGCATAAATAAGACGAAATATAAATTTATGATAATGCAACAACTATTGCAATATTTCGGGGTGGGACTAAAAATGTCCCCCC